TGGGGAGAAATTAAGACATCTCAACTTGACCTCTTTCTGTGACATTCCCTTTTCAATATATTTCCAAACCGACCATAGATAAACACAATTATGATCAAATGAATTTGCATCCGCAGCCTTGGCCACGTTAGTTTTACAAATATATATATATATATATATATATATATCGAATAAATTTGGTTTTCAGTCATAAAGTTGGGAAGAATATATATGTTGTTGCGCTCGCGCATGGGAACTTGAACTACTAATGATAGTCTATGGAAATCATTTTAATATTTTTAATTAATTTTTTATTTTGTATTGATTTGTTAGGATATTTAAATATTTTTAATATCTTTTTTAACATTTTAATGGAAAATAATTGATTTTCTACAATTTCATATTTTTTACATATAAATAAATATTAATATTTCTAATTAAATAATTCTACTAAAAAAACTTTATCGAAAGGAATTCATTTGCCATTTATATCATGTATAAAAATATCACATAAAATTACTTGTATAGTACATTTGGATTGAGGGGTTGAAGAGAAAAGATTTTTTTACCTAATCAAATTATAATATTTTTAAATATTAAAATCTAATTAATCAAAATATCCTCTCTTCCCTCCTCTCCTCTCTCCTTAACTTAAGTATACTAATAAAGTTAGTCAGGAGTTACTATATAAATACAGGTTAATTCAGTAAATTATCTATTAATTTTTATATTCTTTTTAATTTCATTTATTAGTTTTGAATTTTTCCATTTATTATCTTTCATATTTATTTTAATTTCATCTAGTCAATCTTTAATGGAATCTTTTTATTCTATACGAAAATAGTTAGTCCTCTAAGTATATTTCTTTTGATCTTTTAGTTCTTAAATTTATATTTACGGTAAAAATAGTTTTTAATCTTATCTTACTAAATGTGTTTTTCAAAAAATTGTTTTACAAAGTAGACTGTATGCAGTCTATCCTGCAAAATTATTTAAATACCATTAATTTTATTTTTATATTATTTTTTCAAAAAAATTTAAATAATTTTTCACAGACTGCATATAATCTGTCTTGTAAAACATAATAGTTGTTTAAGTTTATTACAAATTTTAATTAATCCATCTCTATAAAATATATAAAATATTTCTTAAATCATCATA